GTTTAGGGCTTATGGGGGTTTATGGCTTAGGGAGATGCAAGGGTGATGTAGAAGCCTGAATAGAACTACTGATCTTGAAGAATGTGTTGATCAACTTTTGTTATATATCATCTTTTTGCCCTAAACCCTCAACCCTAAACAGGCCCTAAAACCTATCACAAGGGGCGTGTCTTGGGACTCCAAGCCAGCAAGTCTTCATGATTGGATGCCCGGGGTCCCCAATCATGTTGATTTGCAATGGCGAACTGAGGATAAATGAGAAGACCCCCGTTGGAAATCAGTGTTGGGCAGCGTCTCTTCAAGCCTTTTTCGATGGCATTCTTGCTACTCTCGGGTCTTGCGGCGGCTCTCTGAGCCATGCAAGCAGGGAAAATGAGGGTGCACAGCGCAGGTGTTCGTGAGCACACACACCTCTCTCTAAAAGCTCCCTGCAAGTCTTGGCAAAAGGAGATTTAAGGAGACCTCAAAATGGAGATTGGATGCCTGCCAGTGCCCCATCTGCTGACGTGATAACTTCGCATAAGGCTGCTTGCTAAGTTATTGCCTTACTTGGACAAGCAAGCATTATCTCCGCAATCTCAGCTACTTGTCGAGATAAAAACAACCTACTTTTTCTTCTTGTCCTTGTTTTTTTTCTTGTCCTTCTTCTCCTTCTTGTCTTTCTTCTTTGACTTGTCCTTGCCCTTGCCCTTGTCATCCTTGCCTGGTGCTGAACCAGTACCCGACGCATCGTCTTCATCATTGTCATCATCTTCGTCGTCTTCTTCTGGCTCACCGAGGTCATCATCATCGTGGGTGACCTTTTGGGCCTTCTTCTTGGAAGATGGCTTGGCACCTCGCAACAAATCAGCTCGGCTCACCAAGTCACAGCAGGCCAAATTTGACCCTGTGAGGGGAAGATCGGTAGCCAAACGCTCCTTCAAGCAGCGCAGCAGGTGCGTTTTGTGAACATCACTTTTCACTATGTTCACAACTGGGACTTGCATCTCCAAGCAGGCGTAGACGGAGGAACCCAGTGCTGGAGAGCCATTCAGAACCCATTCAGCAGAGCTCTCGTAAATCAGCTCCTTCATCAAAGCTCCGGAGATGTCATGAGGGAACAAGAGGACCTCATCAGTGGAGAGCATCTTAGCCAGCGCAGAGCCCCTGCGACTATACTTCCGCTTCTTGATGATGTTGGCCTCATTCTTGCTGTCTCCCTCCGCCAACTCAGTCAGATCTGGTGCAGCAGGATCTGCTCCAGCACCTTCCGTCGACTGCTCAGCACTGCCTGCACCTTCAGATGTTTCCTGTTTGTCCCAGGCCTCAAAGACAGCCCGCGGGACGAGACCCATCTCCTTGGGGAGGCCAATGGGAACATTCAGAAGGCTGTCGATGTACGTGTGACTCCCCACGTCGATGTACATGCGCTGCTTCTTCCAGTCCTTAGGAGCCTGACCTTTCCAACAGAGGTACAACTTCTCGGCTGTTCCCGAGTTTGCCAGTCCCCTCATTCGCTGGAAGTAGCCCATCTCGGCCATCATTTTTGAGCTGTAGTGGAGATAGAATTCCTTCATACCCCACTTCATGGCACGAACAACCTTGGTAATGATGTCTTCATTGGTGCGGACCTTCCCGGACAAGATCCAGCAGACGTCGCGACCCGGGGCCATCCTCAGATACTTAGGACAAATAGATATAGCACGAATACATAATCATCAGCAAAGGGTTTAAGGTTTGGGCTGTAATTTCAAGACAGGCGCAAGTCATTGGCTGCCTTGCAGAACTCCTTGAAGTCAGCCTCAACAATGACAGGGTACCGCTGCCATTTCGAATGGCCAGGATACACCTTGCAGACGGCCACATTCTTCGGATCATAGAACGCCATGTGCCGGGAGCTGCTCTTGCACACATCCTGAGCCTTCAGCATGGCCAGCAACTGCATGTGAGCGGGGCTGGACTGCTCCAAGACCATCACCTGCTGCGACAACATCTCCTCAGCCATGCGCTCAGCATCAGCCTGCACCTTCTGGATCGTATCCTTGGACTCAGGCTTATCCTCTGAGGACTGAGCAGCGGTTGCAACACTCGCTGCTGCTGCACCAGCCGCATCCCGGGATTTGTCTGCAATGGCAATCTTGTCCTCAAACTGCGCCCAGAACTTTTTCATGTTACCGCACTCCTTCGCGTGCGCTGGCTGGAGTCCTCCAGCTGGGGGGCTACCAAGAAGGCCTTTGATGTCTTGGTTGAAGTCACCATTGAGGATTTGGCGGTAATGGTTCTTATTTTCCTACGAAAACCT